AAAAATTTTAGCAAAAGGTATCCTACAGCATGAGAACCATATGGAAGATCGAGAACACAAAAATCTAGTTAGCATGGATTTCTACGTGTAATTCAGGTAGCAGATTAGCAACAGCTACTTGTATGCTCGTCTGAGCATGCTGAACAGCCCCTCTCCATGGTAGAGCTTCTAACTCTTAAAGCCACAAGATGGAGCCAACAGTTCTCGGGAAGAGGTGCCTGTACCACCCCAGGGATTCTCAGAGCATTTAGCACAGGGAACCACACTAGTTAAGTGTCCTGGCTGGGGCAGAACACAGGCAAGCACAAAGGCAGAAGCCAAGCTATGTACGGGCAACCACTCTCCACTTTCATCCTGCTGCAGTTTAAGGAAAGCCTGTTTCTCACCAGCATCCACAGAATATCTGAAGAAAAAGGTGCCCTTCTGGGCTTTGGGTACAGCTATGCTCAGAATCCTCTCCTGCCTCCTACACAACACTTTCCATGCTACTCTCTCTGCTGCAGAATATTTAAAAAGTTACTTCACTGTAAAGAACTACATGGCAATCTGAAACACAGGGCAAACATCTGTCAAACAAGATTATGCAAACTGTTGTAATCCCTGGCCTGAAGTAATCAAGTAGAGGATGTTCGGCTTCCAACTTTTACAAGACTGACAGCAGAAACTGCAGCCAAAGTCTACTGTGAATCCTATTTCTATGCCACTCTAAATTAAATGGCGTAACAGTGCCGTGAGTCTGTTCTGAACCATCCTGTCTCTGAGGCCCCTCAGCTTCTCTGCTAAAGTTTGTTCATCCCAAATCAACAAAGAGAATGGATACTGGCACACTCAGAAGACTAAGGATCAGTATTCCCACACAGTGTTGCTTATGCTGTTGAGTCACAAGACCACCTGAAGAAAGAGGAAAGCAATTTCATCATTTACACAGTTGATACAAGCTGTCTGATCCAATTAGGTTGTAGAAAATTAACTATGAATAATCAAACTACTGTACTAGTCAGTACTGAAACATATGCAGACCATTTCTGAAAAATCAATGATGGAGCCCCTCAGTCACCTCCTCCTCCCCTCCCTTCCAACAGGCTGCAATATAATCATGTTACAGATTTGATACAAAGATTAGTTTCAGACACTGAAAGTCAGCAACTGCCTGGTTCAAGAATTTGGGGATTAGACACACTTTTAGAATGCTGTAAAAATCAATAACAAACAAATATTATGCCTGTTTTTCTTTTTATTATTAATAGTAATACAAATCGGTTGTATTAGCATGATAATGAAAAATGACCAGTTTTATAGACATTAAAAATGTTTGTGCAAGTTAGAGACAAAGCTCTGAAGCTATGCAAGAAAAAAATTTACATTGTATAGTATAGCATACGTAGTTTAGAGGCAGTTTTATTAAATCTTGCAATCACAATCACTTCCACTACATTAAACCTCTTTCTTGGTGTTAGAGATAACACCTTCCCCTCCCAAGAGGAACACCTGCCATTCTCATGAAATGTGGAGATTATGGTGAAAAATCAGTTTTTTCATTCCTCTTCCCTCCTTCTCCCAACTATAAAGTCAACAGGAGGTGAACATTGCAACATATGCTTATAGCAATTAAAGAAAGCTTCTGTCAACATAAGCTCTAAGTTGAATTGATAAACAGTATCCTTTCTGAACAAGAATTGATAGGCCTGTCAGCCCCAAGTATGGGTTAACACTTTGGAAAGCTTAAAAAAAATCTTGATGATTTAGTTAAATGCATTCCCACCCCCACCTCTTTCTATATTCCAGATTGCAGCTTCATACCTTAGACAAAGTATTCTTAAGCATTATATTAGCCAGATAGGATTCAACTGGAACTTCAGGGGGCTGTTAACATCTTACTGAAGTTTAATGACCCGTAAATGTACGCATACATCTGTCTCTCCATCAAGCTCAGCACTCCCCTAGAAGTTGCAGTAGAGGCCTTTTAGTGTGTATAGAATGCACAGCAAAAATCAATGAAAGTGCATTTCATGCTGCATCTGTACTCTCATGGAGAGATGCTCCTCTGGAAAAAAAAAAAAGTCAAGTCTGCCTTCACATTCCTGGAGTTTAACCTGCTTTTTTCATATAATGACTTAGCCCCCATTATAATTGGAGCCTGTCTCATAGATATTTGCTTAAACCATAAAAAGACCGAACACTTGAATGCCCACAGCTAAGCCACATATGGAGGATTTCACACAGCAGTAAACAGCTCCCTGACTTTATGTTAAGCCGTTACGCAAGAATATTTGAATGCTTAAGTGAAAGTGCATAGTCAAGTCTTGCATGACCTCCAGCTTCAAATATCCAGTTACTTGCTTACAGCCATGCTCCAGAAAGATTTAAGAGCACATTATACTGACAAAGATAAGCCTTGGTCTTTAATTACCTAACATGCAAAGGCTGCTAGAATCTGTCAGCTTCAATGCAGCCTTCCATTGCCCCAGATACACAGCATGGCTAGCAGGCAACCACACACACCCACTCTTGTCAAAGTCCTCCTTGTTTGATGTACCCAGTCTGCAAGTATTTATATAGATCAGAAGCCAAAGCTCCCTTTACTCTGCTCACAGGAAGCCCTCAAGTCCAAAGGAAGCATTTCTCTCTGGCATTTTTTGACTCACTCTCATCAACCCACCTGCTGTTGATGTCCATTGATGTCCAGTGAAGCACACCTGGAAGCCATTCAAGGACCCTCAAATCATATTTCCCCTATTTAGTAAGGCATGCATTCAGGCACTTCAACCACATGAGGTGGAGGCAACAAGGTTCCAGTCCAGGGGAGCACTTTTATTGCCTTCCTGGTACAAGTCAGAATACTTGTTGCCCAGTGTTATGAAGGCAGCTGCCTTGTTTATCATGTTTTCAGCTGTAACTGGAAAGTTCAGATGAAGTTTGCCACAAGTACAGAAAAGCTGCTGTATTTAGTCTCCAGGCCTAGTCTGTCTGGAAAAGGTGACAAGCATAGAACACTGAAGAGATGCAGCATCAAGCCATGAAGCAGCAAGCACCTTCTTCCAAGTAAATCCACCTGAGCAATGGAGCTTTACCAGTTGAAAGAAAAAAAAACCCAAAACCTGAGTAAGAACAGCACATGGACTGTAAGAACACCAGTGGGAGACTCACTGTTCCAAGTAGAAATTAATCTGTCCTATCAAATACTGTCTGTCAGGTACTTTAAGATCAAAGAGATCAAAGGTCAAGGCATGCAAGTCTCTTGAGCCAATACAGCTGAGCTGCTCATTGTGAACTTTGCTGAGTCCATTATTCATACAGCAAGGAAAGCTTATTCAGTTTTGTTAGACACATTTTAAAATCCACCTCAGAGGGGCTTGACCTAGATAAGCTTGTAATGTGAACTCAACTGTTGTTTATCCTTTAGGTTAATTAAGGACTTAACCTTCAGGTCTCAACTAAAACCAAACCTAAGTGAGTTGCCTTCCTCCAGAAGGAGACATTCATTTGCTGTATGCACAATATGCACTCAAAAATGGACTTCACCCATGGAAGCTGAAGTGGAAACTTCTTAGTGAAGTGTCAAAGCTCCAAGTGTCCCATTAGGTGCTTAGGCTTTAAACACAGGGAGTACAGCTTAAATGACAAGTTCTGTAAACCCACAGGTTCCCAGTCCCTGCTTCAAAACTGTATTGTCAAGTTGGCTTTGTAATACCAATTAACTACACTGTTCAAAGAGAAATATTTCCAGAATTGGTTAACCATTCTTTCTGCACATACAAGATAACATTCACAGAGAAGGAATTCAACTTGACAAAAATCAAGATTACAGCACCTTTTATTTAGTACAGTTTCCCCAATCCAATGAGTTGCCTGACAAGTTGAACTAGTTATGGAAGACAATGAGTTTGCGATAAGTCCCTGTGAAACCTCAGACCAGAGGTCCTGATATCTAACACATCTTACCTTTTTCAAAATTCAGAAATGGAATGCACAAGAGCAATCTAGTACATGTTAAAAAATGTTTTTCAACCTCAAATTACAATACTAAGTACTGTTCAGTATTTGCTACTCCTTCACCTCAAAAAGAAACAGGATTTGTTAATTTAGTGCTGCAGTGTGCTTCATTGAACAACCACATAGCGTACTCCTTGCACCAAGTAACTATCTTAAGCATCCTGTTCACTTAAGAATCCAGTTAAGAAGCAAGATACAGTAACTACTTTAAGTCTCTCCACCCCTTCAAAACAGAAGATAACCATAATTCATTAAGAGACTCCACAATCAGAAGGGACACTTCCACAACAGTAACAGAAGTCTTTTTTGGCAATTGCACTTAAACTGCATCAGAAAACTCAAGTTCAGTCAGCTGACAAGAGGACCTGCTAAGTACTGACTTATATTCCATTTCTAGGCTGGTTTTTGCTGATCAGTACATGACCACCATTGCATAACTGACAGCAAAACTCAACATGCATCTCCATGTGCTAGGTTGCTGTGCATCAGAAACAGTACATATAAAATTAACAGTGAGTAACAGACATGGCAACTGCTTAACTTCACTTGCTTTTTGACACCATACAGCTCACTAGCCAGCTAATCATTGAGAGGTAGCATGTATGCCTCACCTATTCCAAGTCATGATTGTGTGATGTGACCCATCCTTATTCAAAGTTTTCATCTTCAGCAAGACAAGAGACAGATGCAGATGTTCCCACTTTCCAACATGATCACACTGTTCCAATATAAACAAAACCAATGAAATCAAAACTTTGATTTTCACTATTCCAGTACCAGGGAGGGGAAGGAGGATGGACATAGAATGACTGCAATTGAGTCTAGCCACAATACATGGAAGAAACCCAGGACATCATTTCAAGGAGACAGTGATAATATTATTCCTTTTGAAGAAAGGCTTACAGTCACTTTCTCACCCCATACCACTAATTTCAGGATGAGATGACAGACCAGTGGGAAATGCATCTAACCAGTATTTAAACATAATTTTTTGCATTGTCTAAATAAGTCTGAATTGAGTCCGTAGGCTTGATTCATGAATGCTGTATTGACTAAACAGATCATGGAAGAAAGTTTGTTTTGAGTTAACTCTCAAGTGTCAGTTGCTATTTCTTACATGGAGTGTAGGGAGGAAGCCAGCAGATTTCAGTGTAAGAAATACCAGTGACAACTAACAAGATGGAGACTCAAACCCTTTACCAGATGTCGCCTAGCTTTTCTTCAGTTTGAAACAGCAAGGAGAGCAGCAACAGCGGAAAAAAAAGATTGAAACTGAACAGCTGTGCTTGTTAAGGCCAGTTGAGGTTCAAGAGAAACATATTCAGAGAAACAGAGTAAACTAGGAAGTTAATACCAAAATACTTTGTATAAGCAAGCAGTAGGATTGTAGTTCTGAAACTGTTTCTAGTTTTGAAAGACACTGGGAAGACAGAGGCCCATTTCAGTTTAAGTAGGCATAGGTTTTGTTGGATACCAGAAATGGTTTCAAAGTTCTGTTTTCACATTTTGAAGGTGTGATATGCAAAGCAAAAGATAAGGGAGTCAATACAGACTTCCTTTCATGAATCCAGCCCTATATCCTTAGTGGTATCTTATCCATGCCACCTGTAGATAGATATTTACAGTTCCCAAACATCACAGTAAGCAACATCTTTCTTTAAAGCTTTTCTTGTTCTTGCCACTTTTCTTGCCATTCTTGTCTTTGTTTTCTGACATTTTCTTTGCTCTGATTTCTCTCATTAAATCAAAGAATACCTAGAAGGGAAAAACAGAAAAATTAAACAAGATCTGCCACCAGAAAGCAGATTAAAACTATTGTATTCATCAGCAAATAAAGATGTAGCACCACACTATACCTAATACAGCAGAAGTGAGTCTGGACATAGATCTCAGTGACAAACTCAACATTACAATTATGTAGCATGTCAAGCAGTGGCAAGAAAGAGGACAATCTTACCTGGTTACCATTCAACAGCCCCATTTTATAAGCTTTTTATTGAATACAAGTCTTGCACAAAAGTAGCATTCAGAGTCATGAGAACATTTGTATGTGCCTAGCAAACATTTCCAGACAAATCATTCTTTTTAAGTACACAAAGCATTTAGTCCAGTCCTTTCCATGTAGCTACAAGCACACTGTCTGCTGGCTATTCTGCCTGTTCCATAATTAAAAAGCTGCAGCATTCAAGTGAGTGTCAGGCACAGAAAATTTTCAGACTAACTTATTAGAAAGATTCAGAGAAAATCATTACTCTGAAGTTTCCTCCAAAATTCTAGCTGATTTCACCTCTGTGTGCCTTATGCCTATGTGCATACCACTTAGGATGCAACAGCTGTTTTATTGTAGAGAATTACTAGGGAAAATAGTTTTTAGGATTACTGAACAAGAGCTTAGTGTCACTCCACAGAGTCAGGCTTTTTTTTTTTTAATGGGGAACTAACCAGGTCTTTTATACTTGGAAACAAGACCATGCTACTGATTAGAAATAGAATAGTTTATAATTCAAAACCCTCCTAAGGTTTGTTTTTTTAATTCTGCTACAGTGTCAATGCACAGTCACAGTGGCTGATAACCTAAGTGAAAAAACCTGTGATAACAGGCTAGGCATTCACTATCACGAGACAGCTGACAGGCAAAAGAAAGTCTAGGTATTCATGTTTTACTTTATCTCCCAGTTTATATATCTGACAGTCTGACTTTCTAGTTACATCCTGCAAGTCAGAAGGGTGCTCTACTAAATTTAATTACACCATGTCCATTATAACCAAAACGTCTCATTTCAAGAGTTTCATATACACTGTTTTAACCAAGAATGATCGAAATATTTCCTACTAGGTAACCCATGCACCGACAGCATTTCCATTAGTTTTATACATAGCCTAGCTTTCTGATCAGTTGGGATCAGCAATTAACAGCAATGTAGCTGTGTCTGGAGTGTACCGGCATGATGTTCTAGACTTGTTCTCATAGATCTTCTCTAGCTAGTCCATATGACATGCTGGTTATCCTCTATATAAGCACTGTTTTGTGTATGTTAAGACAGGTTATCAGCCATTATTTTTTATAATCTAGGCTTTCAGAAGCCCAACTGTGGATCTGCTTTTGTCCCAGTAAGAGACAAGAATTAGTCACTCAGCTACTAAACAAGTAGCAATGATCTAATTGAACACATGTCATTTATCTTACCTTATCTACATTTGCTCTAGTTTTGGCAGAGGTTTCTACATACTGCACGCCCCACTCCTCTGCCTTGCTTCTGGCCTCTTCTACAGGCACTTGTCTGCGCTCTTCCAAGTCAGATTTATTTCCCACTACCAGTAAAGGGATTTTATCCTCTTCAGCCTTCACACGCAGGATCTGTTCCCTAATGCATCAAGCATTCAAAATAAAAATATCCATATTAGTAGTAGCAATGAAAACCCCACCCTTATCAGGAATGGATCAGTCTGCACATTACTAATGTTTACAACAGTACTTAACAGTACATTTCCCAACAGTTGAACATATATTTTAAAATTATTCCAAGTTTAAACATACTAATGCTATGGGCTTTACACTAATAAAAGCCCCATGCTTCCAGGAAAGCGGCTTTACCATTTAGTAAGTTTACTACCTAGGTTCTAATAAAGAACTGTATGGTAGAAGAGCAACTTGCATCAGGAGTTCACATCTGAATGAGGAAAAGAGTACAAGTGCCAGGTTTGCCAAGTTTCACATTAGCATTCATTCACAGTCTTCAATTTCCAACCTACATTCCACCTCAGCATAGGTCCTGGGCAACAGCAAGGCTTTGGCAAGGCAACAGGTTGAGAACAGCATAAGTAACTGGTAGAGATCATAACGTCACACAAAGGAAAGAACTACTAAATAGTGCCGAACTAAAATGCCAGCCACTTTCCTCTTTCAAAGACTCCAAGAAAATATTTGAACCATCAGCATTAACCTAGGTATCCTTTGTCATTCTAAAAGGATTTATCAGTTTCCAGGAAAGGAGACAGAGTGATGCTGCAGGTCAAAGCCTGTGCTATTATTGGAGTAAAACCTGGGTTGAAACCAGACTGACACATGCTGCTGTCCATCTAGGACTCTGGAAGAACCATACCAGTCTACACTTATTTTTAGATTGCTTTATTTTCTTATGAACAAGAGCCAAACTAGGCATGAGCATGGTGCTACAACCCCTCATCCCATGGAGTTACCACACTACTTTAGATGCTTGCACTTACCATCCACAAAATAACTGAGTTTATGTAGAGTACATGAGAATCTAAAATAGTGTTAACACTGAAGCAGACATTCTGCTGTTGCATTCAACTGTACCTTCACACATTTTCAGATTACAGAGGCACTTAAAGCAAATGCAGGAAAGATAGGGTTTAAAGACAAGCCCATAGTTCATCCAGTATTCAACTTTTTACTAGTTCAAGAATTCTGGAAGTTACAGGATCAATAATATCCATCTGTAGTTCAGCCTGTGATGCTGGTGACTCATACTACCAATTCCCCTCCTCTGTCCTGGGGAAGATTTTTCCAAGGAGCTGGTTCTGACATGTCAGCATAACTAAATATTCCATTTATCTAATTTCACTATTTGATTATTTCTGACCCATTGAAAAGTAGGAGATTCTCTATCTCAAAGCTTGCTTGTCTTTAGTGATAGCATTGCTTTCCAATTGTTCTCTTGTGCTGGAATCTTTAACGAACACACAGTTAACACAGTTACAGAAGTCTGACAAAAACCACAAACTGCCAAGATAAACACTCCTACTCCTTTTCATCCAAAGCCTTAAGCTGCAGGTTTAACCTTATATTTTACTTCAGCACACAAACCAAAACCCAGGCTAGGTACTTCCAAGTATCTAATTTTCTTCCCTTTTTTGCATGGCATCTGAATTTTTCCTCTATCTTACACTATGAACAGTCTGAGTACTCCATTTTGTGACCCTACAAGAGTTCAACTGTTTAACTCCTTTAAGTGCTCCAGTTAGAGCAAAATGAGCAGAGCAGCCCTGCTTGCGTGCCCCATGACTGTCAGCCTTCAGAAGTCTAGCAAAGCCACAGAAGTATTATGTGACAAAGGAACAATATTTTTATGCCTCTTAAAAGATTATGTAGTCTCCTACTACTGTTGGAACAGCATAATACATTAAGAACCTGGATCAAACTCCTGGTGCGCAAGGGGAGTTTGCCATAGCTTTAAGAAGACCCTAGAAATAGGCATCTACCTTAGCACCAGCACTTGCATTACCAATTAGTATCTGTTAACCTTATAGCACTGAAGCAAAGTGAACATAAACCAGACTAATAAAGAGCTTTTATTCTGGCAAGCATGAGGAACTCTTAACATTTCCCTGTTTTGTGGCAAGCTTTACTTCAAGTTGCACAGGTGTCCTAGGGAATCTCTGGATTACCTTCTACATTGAAGCAACAGCTATTATCAAATAAGAGTTAGAACGCTTGCCCTGAAGAACCTGACTACATGAGTTCTGAAGCCAGAACAAAGGATTAAACCCCTTATTTTTCTTGTACACTACATGAACAGTTTCTCTGCTCAGTCTGGTGCTGATTTTCACATTAGAACTGCTAATTCAAAGAACAAAAATGGAAGCATTTACTGCTACTGTGCGTCTTTCTAGGAATGCATCTGCCTACAATAGTACCGCTTGGCTGCCAACCCTTGTTTGGCACCAATCCATACCTGAGAGAGGTTAATCCTTCCTTTCCTTAGAGCACCTGCTTCTAGCAGTAAGCAATACAGTGTCTGAAAGCCAGCCAAAAGGCAGACTTAATTCCAGAAGTACTGCTCTAAGATAATTAAACTTCACATCCACAAAGACTGAAAATTGGCTTGAATACACATGTTTTAGGAGTCCAAGAATCTGTTACTTGCTTGAAGCTGTTGCTGGCGTAATGTACTCATAAGTTGAAGGCATGAAGACACTAGAGCCAGAGGCTGGCTATTGTGGTTTGAGTTACCAGTTACTGAGAGCTAAATGGTTGGGTTGCCACTTATTGACCAGATGGTAATAGACAAAAAAACCCTACAGTTCTTTGTCCCAAGATGAGTTGTCAGAGCAACAGAGGAACCAGATATTTTCCCCCTGCCTGGGAGAGAAACTACTTACCGAAACTCCGCTGTTGCTGTAAAGGATTCATGCTCTGTTATTGAGAAGACTAGAAGAAACCCTTCCCCACTGCGGAAATAGTTATCTCTAATAGCTGCATAATCCTCCTGTCCTGCAGTGTCCAGAATGTCTATCTGAACTTCTTCACCATCCAGAACTACTTTCTTTCTGTAGCTGTCAGCCTTGGTAGGTTCATAGTCTTCTACAAACTGAAGATAAAACAGGGATTAGTGTCTAGAATTACTGTCAAATTGTCTCAGCATTTGTACATACCCATTCTCTTTCACTTTAGTGACATTTAAATTCACAGAAGCCTTCTCATAATTCAGTCAGCTACTAAGTTGCATCACTTTTTTTTAGTTTTACTATAAAAAGCAAATTATTTAAGTACTTAGTACATCAAAGAGCCAGTATGCCTAGTCAAGAGAAACTGTCTTGCTATATGAAACACTGTTCAGCAATTGCAGCACAATTTAAGGACAAAAATACCATATAAGCTACCAACAACCTGGTGGTATTATTTAAGTCTCCCACTTCAAGAAAAAGCCTTTGAGTGTACTTCAGGTACTGCTATCTCAAGCTTCAACATGTGGAGATGACAACATCCAGCTGCTGAACATCAGAATCTGCTTGATAAGTACACAGGCATGTACTTTAGTTCATTCAATACTGATCACACCCACAAAGCCACTGTCAGTTCAGCTTCTAGTTTTGTGTAACACATGTCCAACATAGGCTCCTTACCTTTCCACCTCCTTTCTTGCAGCCTCAAAGTACAACAAAAGGCGGTGCCGTGAGCCCGGTTAAGCTGACTGGCCTTCACTAATGCCTATGGCACCTGTTCAGATATTCACATCACTGTAGTATGAGTGGACAGCCTACAGATAAATACATGATCCTGCAGTTCGGAAGTTAGTATTCCTTCACATAATAGCCTGGATCTAGCTTTCTGTATACCGTATGGAAGAACTCATGCTATGAGCCTTTCTACTTCATCATTCAGCTCAGAATGAGTTAGAATGCATACTTCTGACTTCAACCTTAACTGGCCTAAAAGAAACTGCAACAAAATTAAAGTTCAATGCCCAGTGTTAACAGCCTCTGTACACTCAGACAAGGACATTCACATTCTGCATGTCTTTTGAAGACTGTTCTTTCACTAATAAGCTTTAATTTTGTCACCCTTAGCCTAAGATGTTGCCAGAGGGCACCCTTCCCAGATTCCTACATTCTTCTCCTGCCAGTCAGGTCATCAGGTCTTTTGATTCTTACATTTATGCCCTGTCCCACTAAAGAAGTTTAGTAAGCTGTATTCGTTGCTGCTTTAGAAAAGCTGAACCAAAGCTACTTACCTCATCATACATAAACTGAAGAGTGAGTGCAGACTTGCCCACACCTCCACTGCCAACCATGATTACTTTATGGAGGGCCAAGGAACTCTGGTTCTTGCTCTTGCTGGCAGCCATTGTCCTGCTTGCCACAGATGAAGTGCCAGGCAACCAATCAGCTCTGCAGACAGAAGAAAGTCACCTTCCATGACACTGGTGACATCAGGGTAGCATGCAGGTAAAGCATCTCACTAGCACCAAAAGGCCAGATTAAAACCCAGCCCAGCAAGCCTGAAGAATAGGCCATTTCAATGCACTGGCAAGCACACCACGTCAGTGATCTCTATTGAGGTATTAGAACAAACACTGTTGTCACAAACAGAATGTACCATTAATAAAAGTGACAAAGGTTTCTTAAAACAGCTACTAGCTGAACAAATTGTTCTTATTTGTAAGCTCATCCTACATGACTGCTATTTAGAGCAGTTCCCAAAGCAAAAAAAAAAAATCCACTTTCTCAAACAACATGAAATTAAGTGTTTTTTACTGTTCTTGTTATAAGGCTTTACACTTTTCTAAAATATTTCTTTAATGTTGATGCAGCTTAGTTTCAACCTGGAAGCAGAGCTATACCTTAGATCTGCTTATAGGTAGAAAGATGACTTTTGATCTCCTCTCTGTGCAGGCTAAGAAAAAAGCAGAGATACACAGTAAATTTTGTCAGGAACAAGTTGTAAAAGCTTCCAGCAGAAAGTCTTATGACATTACATTAGCATTTATTTTATGCTCTTCCCGTCTTTTGATGCTTCAAATCTAATGTGCTTTCGGGAAAAAAAAAAACAATCCTGCTTTACTGCAAGAAATTCTCAGTTCCTCTTCTCCTGATGTTACAAAGCCATAAAAGAGTAAGCTTCAATAAACAAGTTAGCAAGCCTTTGTTTGCATGCCATGCAAATTAAGTTATTAATTCCTGGATACCTCTTAAAAATAATACTGCTTTAAGAGTAGCGGGACACAGTAGTTGGGACAGCAACACAAGCACCAGCTGCCACACTCTGATTAGCACAGATCAGCAGCTCTAAGAACAGCACATTGGGGACAAAAGCAGTAACGACCACTACAAAAAGAGATGTGTCACCAATCAGGATTCCCACACCAAGGAAAAAACAGATGTGTACTCCAGACACAACAGCTAAAGGGAGATTCTGGGATAATAACACTTGTGTCCTCACAGTACTACAACTGAGGGCCCCAGCTGCTCATACCCTGGCAGAGTGCTGTAAGGAGAACAGCAGACCATTCACGAAACACCGCTATGGAAAGTGGCTATACCAGCCTTGATTTATAGCAGCACCCATTACTCCAGAAGCACAGAAGCAACAGGCCTACCAGGAGTCTCAAATTTGCTTGGACATAATTACTACAGAAAGTTACTATAACTGCTGCACCATGCCATCAAGTTCTACTGGATGGAAACACAAGGCCTACATTAGAAGTTAAAGAGTACTATATTGGAAAAAGCTTCACAATAACCAGCTGCCCTAAACAAAATTAACTAGGGACTAAGAGACTGTCAACCTACAAACACACTACAGGATTATTTAGCCTGGAAAGGACCTTTGGGCATTGTCCGGTCGAAACCTCTCCCTTAAGGCAGTTTGCTCCAAGAAATCCATTTTATGTGCCCTGTGTCTGGAGGCAGACAACTCTATGACCAGTCTGGGCAACCTGCTCTGGTATACACTGACGGTTAAGCTTTTTCCCCCCCTTGTCATGACCTGATGTTCTGGAAAGCAACAGCTTAAACTAAGTTTTCATTGACTACTCCATACAGGAACAAACATGCCAACAATCAAGGTGCTTGCCCTCAGGACAGCATTTTCAAGCATCTGAGTAGTAGTATTTTTCCATGCAGAGTATTTTACTCATACCTGTTTGCTACATATTTAGTTCAGTAATGCAAGTTAATCATCTTTAAGTGTTCATTGTGGGATAAACACTGGTAAGTGAAGACAGATACTTACCTCTGATAATATTCTATATTATGTTATACATTAGCTCCCTCACCCAGGGCACTCCTTAGTACATAAATGGGATGTGACAACTCCTACTTCTCAGATTCCCCTGGTACAGCATAAACACACATTTGTGTTGGGGACAGCAAATTCAGCCATTATCCCAGAGATTCCTAACCAGAACAGGACAGCAAGCTTGATTTTTAGTTCTTAGTCACCAGAGTGGCAAAGGGGAAGAAAACAAGTCCCTGGCAGAGGAATGTGGAGAAACTGGGAGAAAACACAACAGGTAGCATCTGAACTTCAGAAGCTGTTGCTAAAAGTCTATCTGTGCTTATGGTCCACATGTACTACAGATTATAAACTAGAATTCAGCTTGCTTGGACACAGACACCCAAGGCATAAGAGCTACAGGTTAATTACACAATGAGATAGTTTGGGGACCTTAAGTGCTCCAGTAATTACAACTTACTAGGATCAAGCTGTGTTGCAAAGTTTATTTTGTCCCAGTTCAAGAGTAGTCTGGCTTTGAAAGTAGTAGCAGTCTCCAGCTGCTTTCTGGAGAAGTCAAGTGACCCTTAGCAACTTTTCAGTGTAATTGTGACTAGTTTTAACTTTGAGTATTCCTTTAACAAGCATCCTAAGGTTGTTGCAACTGCTGTGTTATCTAAGACAAAGCTTTCAAGTTAAACATTTTCCTGGCAACACAAACTTAGTGCTGCTGCCTATTAAGTTGCGTTAATACACTGTGTGTATGCAGCTACAATGAAAAGATTTACTAATAGCCAAGAGAGAAGATAGCAACTTTCTCCCTCCTGTCAATAGAAATACCACATCTTTACCTGGTCATATTAAAGGAATAGGTGCTTTTTAGCTAAAATACTGACCACTTTGATTCAGTACAAGCTCAGAGGTAAATAGAAAGAATATTTAAATCCTTCTTTCTCCATCCCACCTCAACATTGGCCAGCAGAAACTACAAGGTCACCCTTACAGTATCACCCAACTTGTAATCAAAATATTAAAGAAAACTTATCCAATAGCATACAAATTCATAGTTTGATTGCATCTAGAGCTAGCCTAGCTCTTAACAGCCAAGGTACTCGACCTTCCCTGAAGAGCTGCTACAAGTGTCACTCGAATCTTTTAGAGTATCAACACTACATGAATCTTCTAATGCAGGAGTCCGCTCACAACACAACCCCCATGCTGTATGCCCTCAGTGAAATCCCAGAAGCTTCACACAAGGCATCTCTTCTCTGGTGGCAGCAGGGGAAACACGGCCCCCTGCAGCTCCAGAACAGCCAGTAAAGAACAAGGCATGGGGCTGAAGCAGCATGGCACAGGATTGACACAGGCAGTACCAATGCAGAAGTAGCAGCATTTACAAAACAGTCTAAGAGTACATCACTGGTTCAGAAGGGGCACGATGAGATTTTAATATGAATACTCTAATAAAACAAGAGAAGACATTGGAGCCAACTGTTTACTTGCATTTCCACCTCTGCAGCCCAAGAAACAATTTGCACACCATGGTTCAAAGCTCACATCTAACAGTTCCTTGAGGTTAAAAAAAAAAAAAATCAATTAACACAAGTGGAAGCTCTCTCCTCAGTCATCTGAGTAAGCAAGGGTGAATTTCCATCCCATTCTGTAGATTAAGCATCCTTGAGGCAGTCAAGGCACTGATATTAACTTATCTGTTCCTTACAGAAAAGGAAGCCTTGGGAAATCCAACCACCTCCCAAAAAAAGTGGCAGTGTCTAGAAGAACACGTGATGACTGTGGTTGCTTTTAAAACATTATTCAATTCCCTTCAGTTTAAGGGAATGCAAATTTAAGGCCCAGAGCCTTAGTACATCTGCTGAAGAGGCTGCTCTGAATAAGTGTCCAGACAAGTCACCTAATTCTGTAATAGGTATTCCCTCCTCTCCCATGTTGCTCTTTACTCACTGGACAGTCAACTGTACCCAAACAACAATATTTACCCTCCTCTGACAGGAAGGAAAGCAAACCAGTCAATGGCAGTCAGTCAATCTGTTTCATTTCAGTCTGTCAATTTTACCTTCAGGTTTAATGACACCATGTTCAACCTGGTGTACAAAGCATCATAAACTGTAAAAAAACCCTTCTGACACTTCTTTTTGGGAAGGACGGGGAGGTTGTTCTTCTGGTTACAGTTCATCCTGCTTCAAAATAAAGTACTAGACAGAGCTCAAGACACAGCATAAACTTTTTCAGGCAGTCTTTCATCTTTAAGAAATTAGAAGTAATTACCGGCTTCATCTGCTTTAAAAGATAAGGATTAAGCCCTTGACTTGATAACTCTGGATTTATTTTATAATAGGTTACACAAAGCCATACGCACAATAGGAGCTTTGTGGTGCTAGTGAAAGATGCTCTTCAGATCAAGAAATGAACGTTACACCAACAGACAGGCTAGCCACATGAAGCACAGCAAATCAAACCATAGTAGTTACTATAAACTGCTTTGATTTAGACTTCTGAAGGTACCTACTTGGCCACATACCTAATTAAACCACACCACCCTCACTATAAGAAATCTAACCCTAAACTTGCCAATTATTTCAGCCTTCCCTTGTCTTACCTGTTTAGATTATAACTTCTGCAGGTTAACTAAGGCCTCCTGCTGGAGAGAAACCTGCACGATGTTGTCATTCTCAGCTGGTCCCTCGAAACTGAGTACTTCAAGGCATTTGTTTATAAACAGCTTCATAAACTCCAAACTCAAACATCAGTTTGCTATTTTTCCACTCTCTCCTCAGCCTAAACAGTTAAACCGTCAGAACATTGTTAACAAACAATACCAAGATTCAGAGACTTACTGAATAACTACATGTAAAAATGCAATCTGGTTTGAAATACATCTCTTTTTACTTCACCTGCATTAAGACTCCAGTTGTGGTCACTTAAAGGAAAAAGGTTCATAAGAAATGAACCCATTTTCCTACAGCCTACACAAATACATAGAAGGAAGAAAAAAAAAGAAACTTCACCAAGTCTACCCATTTTCCAGTAAATATTCTGTTACTAAAATAAAGAAATTCTAGTCCCCTCCAAAGGCTTAATTGGAATTGCTTCTAGTTCTTCCAATTCAGTTCAAGATTTAAAACTGAAATAAAGCTCTAAGCTCAAAATTGCTGAGAT